TTGGTGTAATTCTGATTTATTGAAAATGTTTTTGTACTGGCATAATATCAATAATACTTGCGCTTTGTCATTTTATAAAGTGTTTTCTATATTTCATATCATTTAAAAATAGTTGACAGTGGCAGAATTTATACCTAGGTGGAACTTATTATACAAAATCCAGAAGTATTTGCATAACATCACAATACTAGGTGAATGGAAGTGTACTAAACAGGTGATATGCTGGGATGATACCACCATTATCCTGATTGAAACAAACACAATAAAGACTTTAGCTCTTCACAAATTAAATTTTATGCACCATTTGTGCACATTAATTTATCAGTGTATTCTCAGCATTTAATTGGCCTAGTTGTGTGATTTCTTGTTTAAATTATTCTAAGTTATTCTTTTTTTGTTTTTCTTTAAAGTAAAAACAAAATTCTGAAATTGCAGGTAAGGGGCTACTTCAAAGACTTTAGAACTAGCTTTTTTGTTTGTTTTTTTGAGGTAAGTTTTAGATTTTTTCCCCTTTTCTTTTTTTTTAATCAAAATTATTGGGGTGTCATTGGTTAATAAGATTATACAGGTTTCAAGTGCACATTTCTGATAGAACTAGTATTTTTAATGTGTTAGTAATTATACTCAATTACATACATATTACATTTCTAGAGAAAATCTATACATCATCTTTCCAACATCATAGAATCCTAGTAAGAAAAATCATTATGACTATATTACTTTTTAATGTGGAAAAAAAATAAGTTTCTACTAAATAATATATCAAGTTGGTAGTCAAGATAGAACTGAAATCCATGTTCCATATTTCCTAATACATGCTCTATTCAGCCCCTCTATATTTATACTTTTATTTTGTTCTTCATCAAAGAAAATTTGACTTTAACATGAAGTATCTATTAGATATTCCTTTTTATGGTTCCACACATTCTGCTATTGGTGAAATAAGATTAAACTTCTAAAGCACAATATTTTCCGTTAGCTTTTGTCTGAGACATGAGTGGTTCCCAAAGGTAAACGTGATGACTGGGGAAACAGAATCAACTGTGGAAAATTATAAGTAGTCATAAAAAAAGTTCCTGAACTTTTGCTTCTGCACCTAAGCAGGTTTTATTTTTTCATAAAAATAGAATTCTTCCAACATCCATTCAATGGGCATATATATACACATATATATGTATATGTATAATGTATATAGATAATATATAGTTTTAGTATAGATAGCATCTCCATTTAATGGGTATGTGTCTGTGTGTGTATATATACACATACTTATCTAAATATATATATATATATATATATTCATTCTATCCATTTGTCTCTTACTCTATCTATGTATCTATCTAACTTTCTATCATCTCTCCATATATCAGGAATGCAACCAAAATTTTGCATACTAAAATGTTAATATTTTGGAGCCATTTTCATCTTGCCTTAATCCAAATAATAATGAACAATCAAAGATGGAGATGTTAAAAACCAAATTAAAAATAAACCACTGGAATAGATTGTAAAATAAACTGTTATAAATGCAGATAAGATGCCCATATTTTGAGCTTAGAAGAATTTATGTAAAATGTGATCCAAACAACTCTTATTACCAAAGTTCAGAAAAAAATAAACGTGCACAGCTTTTAAATGTTCGGGAGAGACCTAGGGGCTAGCCTTTGTATTTTGAGCTCATTCTGTCGCCACTCTTTGAGTTCAGCTCATTATAGCACATTTTCTCTTCTGAAAGAAGGGAAACAGCCTTATAAAATTTCATTAAGTAGGTTTAAGAGTGAGTTGTCAATCTTTCAAGTAAGTGTATATAAATATAGATCATTTTAAATGTTCTAAATGCCAATATTCTCTACAAACTTTAACCCCCAAAGATGATCATGACACGTTAAACAGTCGGGAAATGAAAGGTCAAACAAATAGNCGGGCCGGGCATGGCTCAGCGGTTGAGCATTGACCTGGGATCCAGGCGATTNCTGGGCCGGGCATGGCTCAGCGGTTGAGCATTGACCTGGGATCCAGGCGATCGGGGTTCGATTCCCGGTCAGGGCACATGCCCCGGTTGCGGGCTAGGCAACCGATCAATGACTCTCTCATCATTGATGTTTCTCTTTCTCTCTCCTCTCCTTTCCTCTCTCTGAAATCAATAAAGATATATTTAAAGAAAAAAAAAAAAGGTCTAGAATGTAAAATTATTTGGAGAAATAATGGATTGCATTACATGAATAAGTATTTATATTATATATATATTTATTGTATTTATTTAATTAGATAACATAAAATATGTGATACTGTTATAGTGCTATGTATCCAATTCTAACATCTACTGAAGGAATAAAAGTAGTATTTGCAATATTTCTGGTTTATTGAAATGTTTTAGTATTGGTGTAATTCTGATTTATTGAAAATGTTTTTGTACTGGCATAATATCAATAATACTTGCGCTTTGTCATTTTATAAAGTGTTTTCTATATTTCATATCATTTAAAAATAGTTGACAGTGGCAGAATTTATACCTAGGTGGAACTTATTATACAAAATCCAGAAGTATTTGCATAACATCACAATACTAGGTGAATGGAAGTGTACTAAACAGGTGATATGCTGGGATGATACCACCATTATCCTGATTGAAACAAACACAATAAAGACTTTAGCTCTTCACAAATTAAATTTTATGCACCATTTGTGCACATTAATTTATCAGTGTATTCTCAGCATTTAATTGGCCTAGTTGTGTGATTTCTTGTTTAAATTATTCTAAGTTATTCTTTTTTTGTTTTTCTTTAAAGTAAAAACAAAATTCTGAAATTGCAGGTAAGGGGCTACTTCAAAGACTTTAGAACTAGCTTTTTTGTTTGTTTTTTTGAGGTAAGTTTTAGATTTTTTCCCCTTTTCTTTTTTTTTAATCAAAATTATTGGGGTGTCATTGGTTAATAAGATTATACAGGTTTCAAGTGCACATTTCTGATAGAACTAGTATTTTTAATGTGTTAGTAATTATACTCAATTACATACATATTACATTTCTAGAGAAAATCTATACATCATCTTTCCAACATCATAGAATCCTAGTAAGAAAAATCATTATGACTATATTACTTTTTAATGTGGAAAAAAAATAAGTTTCTACTAAATAATATATCAAGTTGGTAGTCAAGATAGAACTGAAATCCATGTTCCATATTTCCTAATACATGCTCTATTCAGCCCCTCTATATTTATACTTTTATTTTGTTCTTCATCAAAGAAAATTTGACTTTAACATGAAGTATCTATTAGATATTCCTTTTTATGGTTCCACACATTCTGCTATTGGTGAAATAAGATTAAACTTCTAAAGCACAATATTTTCCGTTAGCTTTTGTCTGAGACATGAGTGGTTCCCAAAGGTAAACGTGATGACTGGGGAAACAGAATCAACTGTGGAAAATTATAAGTAGTCATAAAAAAAGTTCCTGAACTTTTGCTTCTGCACCTAAGCAGGTTTTATTTTTTCATAAAAATAGAATTCTTCCAACATCCATTCAATGGGCATATATATACACATATATATGTATATGTATAATGTATATAGATAATATATAGTTTTAGTATAGATAGCATCTCCATTTAATGGGTATGTGTCTGTGTGTGTATATATACACATACTTATCTAAATATATATATATATATATATATTCATTCTATCCATTTGTCTCTTACTCTATCTATGTATCTATCTAACTTTCTATCATCTCTCCATATATCAGGAATGCAACCAAAATTTTGCATACTAAAATGTTAATATTTTGGAGCCATTTTCATCTTGCCTTAATCCAAATAATAATGAACAATCAAAGATGGAGATGTTAAAAACCAAATTAAAAATAAACCACTGGAATAGATTGTAAAATAAACTGTTATAAATGCAGATAAGATGCCCATATTTTGAGCTTAGAAGAATTTATGTAAAATGTGATCCAAACAACTCTTATTACCAAAGTTCAGAAAAAAATAAACGTGCACAGCTTTTAAATGTTCGGGAGAGACCTAGGGGCTAGCCTTTGTATTTTGAGCTCATTCTGTCGCCACTCTTTGAGTTCAGCTCATTATAGCACATTTTCTCTTCTGAAAGAAGGGAAACAGCCTTATAAAATTTCATTAAGTAGGTTTAAGAGTGAGTTGTCAATCTTTCAAGTAAGTGTATATAAATATAGATCATTTTAAATGTTCTAAATGCCAATATTCTCTACAAACTTTAACCCCCAAAGATGATCATGACACGTTAAACAGTCGGGAAATGAAAGGTCAAACAAATAGTTGATAAATGTAAAAATTCCTATGATGTCATATGAGGTCAGGCATTACATTTAGTTGCACCATATTGTAGAATTTAATTTTCTCTGCATTATAAACTTTCTCCATGCTATAAACTATTACATAGTAAAAATTCGTATGACAATCTTGGAGGTTTTTTTTTTTTTTTAAGTGCATCTAAGAATGACCTGAAACAACTAAGTATTTAAATACTGAAACAAAACTTTGAAAATACAGAAATTCAAAGACTCATTTTGTATTTCCTGTAATCTAAAATGCAGGGGTATGCTTGAAAATATACCACAAATCTACTTTCAGGTTAAGAAAAAAAAGCTAATTATTATATTAAGGATTTTAAGTAGAAATCTTCAGTTATTGGTCTGTACGATCTTGATTGATTTGCTTAGCATCTTTATTCCTTAGTAAAATAATAGCAGGCACTTCAAATCCTTTCTAGTGCATACTAAAAATAAATGAATATATAT